CTCATTTCAATTGTAGCATAATTGGCATTTTCGACATAATTGTAGAAGATTTGTAGAAGTTTTGGTCTTCCCAATCTACAATTCATCTACAATTTATCTACAATATATCTACAATTCTATAATTTAACTACAATTTAACTACAATTTATCTACAATTTCTGGAAATACGTCTTCTTCTTCTTCTTCTTCTTCTTCTTCTTCTTCTTCTTCTTCTTTTTCTTCTTCTTCTTCTTCTTCTTCTTCTTCTTCTTCTTCGAGTTTCAATCTAAAATTCAGTCAAAACCAAGTCTAATCTTCACCAAAACCCCTCAAAATTGAGATATAAACTCCTAAACATATTCCGAATTATTTACAACAACACCTAATCCAAACAAATAATGATTTTTGAAAACCCAAATTTGAATTCAAAGCTTTCAATCTTTTTAATGGCTATCAATGATGGAAAATATATGAAAGAACAGATTTTTTCAACTTTGAGTTGTTGAAACTCGAAAATTTGAATTGTTCGTTTTTTTTTCTCGAGAATTTGAATTGTAGTTCTAGAGAAAAATACGCAGATGAGAAATCTCCTTTCCCTTTTTAAAAATTGAATTTAATGTAGAATCAATTAACACCAAGATTCTCTTATTAATTTTAGCCCATTTTTTAGGGAATATTTTGCCCTTTTAATGCCTAATAATCGAATGGTACAAAATTTGTAGGTAAAACGTAGATTGGACGGGTAATTAACAAATTATGCACATTTAGGATAATAAGGTTTCATATATGGTATAAGCAGGTAAAAATATCTCGATAAAAACCGAACTAAGGTCCATGCACACCCCTACTTTTGACCCTTTTCCGAAGAAAAAAAAAAAGTGAAACTGCAAAATATAACCTCAATTGCCACGAAGTTGAAGAAGTGTGAGAGTAGGCAGAATCCAAAATGGATTACAGAGAGTCAAACATAATCCAAAATGGATTACAGATTAGTGGAATAAAGACAATGCTCACAAAGAAATCAGACAAAATGAGTAGGCCTTCTTCATATATAGCTGTTCACATTCAACTGTTTTCTCCTTCTAGGCGTTACATAAGTTTCTTCTCTTTTTTCAGGTTAATTACCCAGTGACTTTACCTTGTTTTTTCAGTGAATTGAGTGATGAATTTTTGTGGGGGTTTTCAGGTTTTTGATAATGCTTCTTAATTTTTAGTTTTATTGGTTTCTATATTCTGAATCTCTTTTTTTGAGTTCTTGAAGTCTTGATTAAGTTTATGTATCAAAAACCGCATATATGGGAATGTCCTTATTTGGATGATAAAATTTGGGTGTTTCTCTGAATTTTTTCAATCCTGGCTGTGTTAAAACTTAAAACTACTTTCGCTTTAGGTATTTTAGTTTGTTGAGTTCTTCAAGAAAATTATTTTACGAATGAAAATGCATCATGCATGTGCTTAAGTCTGATAGGAACCCCAAGTTGATATAACTTGAGCAATTTTTAGTAACAGAGATATCCCGAGGGGCAGTAGCACAAGGTTCGAAAAATATGTGCCCGCCCCTCTACCCTTCTCCACCTAAATACCATGTTGTTGTCTATGTCAAGGTTCGAATCGTGATGTGCGCCAAACCCACACATCACATGTTGCATCCTATGGAAAATGATAGAATGAAATAACTTTGATTCATTATTGGTTGTTTTCTTGATTGTTGGATTTGAATTTAGCTTTACCTATTCCATTGTTTAATGTGTGCCAATCAAAAGCTTCTCTTCTTTATAACTTGCTAACGATATATAGCTGATATATTTACTGTTGGGCAGGTTTGGTAATCTTGAAGCTTTCCTTCAATTTTACTATTGTGAGTATTCAAAATGTTACTTTGTTAGTGGTTCTGATATTGTAACCTTCTCAATTTAAAATGCATAAAATATATCATATTGAATTCTACATGATCTTTGTGATATAATAATGAGCGTGACCTAGTAATTGATCCCTGTTACAATGTAATATTCTCAAACTAGGCGATCACTGTTAAAAATTAAAATATGTTGAGTGGCTTTAGATTGGTAGATAGTCAGTTTGTTTCTTGTAAAGAAACTTCATTAATTCCTTTTAGATAGTGATTTATTTAGATTCCACAAGGCTATTCATTACGGAAAATTCATTCATCTACCAAACTGTACAAATTTCATGCATTCCGCTGTTGCAAGTTCTGAACAGTTTCCATTATTTTGGAGTTTGTACTTCCATATGTGTGCTTTAACCATACATACCTTGCACATAAGTTTAGTTAGGGTTGCTGCATAAGCTGTAAGATCTGTAATATCTATTCATCTTCCTTACTTGTTAGTGTTTCATTAGTGGTAATCTTTTCGCCTTGTCTCTAATTATTTTCCCAGGCAGTTATAATTTGCGAGTCATTAGGATGTGTGCATTGTAAGTTGACATTAGAATTCTTAACAAGCTCTAAAGTAATGACAGATTTCCATATAGTATGTACATATAATGGTAAGAGCTTAAAGTTAATGCAACTCGATCTTGAATAAATGTTACTTTCCATCTGTATGGTTAAGACCAGTTGCCGGTTAATTGTTTCATCTTCATTGTAAATTTCTGCTCTCATATTGATGTTGAGGATGGATCTCATCGTCAACTGGTAGTCCCCGTTATCTTGATCTGCATGTTAAACGCATAAACAACAATCGAGAAACACTAAAGCTTATAACTTGACCTGCTTCAGGTGCGTAAGGTGTTGAAAGGAAATGACTCGCACTGGTGAAACTTCTGAGGGCCATGAATCTGAAGGTATTGATACGACGATTGAGATAAAAGTAAAAACTATGAATTCTCAAACCCACAATTTGCGCATTGGCAGTCAGGTACTTGTTTGTTGATATTAACTTCTGAACTGTTAAGGTGTTACCTATTTCATTAAGTAAAAGAAATTTGTGCGATACATTAATTGTGCATGTTTAACACTAAACCATGCTATTTTTGCGTGCACAACCACATGTATAGTTTATGCATGCATCCTCACTTTTTTAATCACTAAAATGGGTTCTTGGTTATGTGCTGATCTCTATTTGCGATTTCATGCAGAGGAAAGTATGGAACTTGAAAGAACAGGTGTCTCTTTTGATAGGGACGCCAATGGAACAACAGCGTCTAATCTATTGTGGAAAAGTCTTACAGGATGATGACCTCCTTTCTTCATACAGTATCCTTTTTATTCACTTTATATATGATCATCTTTAGTATAATGTAACTAAAATGCATTACTACCGCAGTAGTTTCTCAAAGTAGCTAGTGCTCCTTTGAGAAAAATGGTTTTCTTTAAACATCAAGTGGCAGTTTCCTTATGATTTGATGCATTTACATGTAGGAGATTTAGGCTATGTCTCTTTGCTCTTATTATTTCTTTCCCCATCAGAGACTTAATGCTAATTAGATATTGAAAGTGGTGATACTTTGCATCTGATTTGCACCGTCCAGAGCATGTCAACCTTTGGTAATTCACCCTGTTGCCCAGGTTTAATGAGCTTTCTTTAATACGATGTTGGTTGAGAAGTTGTGTAGACAATCTCCTCCTAAATATCCATTATAAATTGTTTATTAGTTGTTCTTTAGTTTCTTTTTGTATCGCAAGTGAAGTAGAAAATTTCAAAGCCATTTAATAAGCTATGGGTAGTTTTCTGTCATTTCTAAGTTCTAAGATAGACGTGTCACCAGCCACTCCTGTTTACTGGTCATGTGATTTTGGTACTTTGTCTTAATGCATTTTGTCCTTCGGCTCATTATCAGTTCTCTGTATTCTAGCTGAAGAAATTTATACTTCGTATCTTTACATTTCTATCCAGTTAATTCAATAATGCCCATTTTGAGCTAGCTGTTACTTACTCCTGCCTGTTCTATTTGCTCTACCTCAGGTGCTACTGATAGGATTTCTCCCAATACTCAACAGGTAATTTCATTTGCATCTTATCATTTTGACCGTCCTTATAGTTCTTATATCTCAACATGCTTTATGTGTGTATACATCCTCTGAAAAACGTAATATTGAGGGGGTTGTCGCTGCCGTTCAAAGTATTACAGTATTTTCTTGGGATTTGTTATTTAGATTGTACAGAAGTATGGTATAATATAGTCTGGTTGTTGCAGGAAATCCCTAACTCTATAGAAACTTTGTCACGATATCTCAACCGAATGAGACGAGGATATAATATAAACGGTCAGTACTTCTCTCCCTCTTTTATGTTTTCCTGTCACTTTGGAGGTATGTGGATAAGTCATTTTCTATAATCAGGAACAGAAAACAATACGAATGAGGTACTCGGAAGTGCATCCAATACTTTCACTCCTTCACAAGGAATTCCAGAAGTAGAACAATTAGCAAGACTGCTGTCTTCCACTAGGGATATGCTTATTAGCCAAACTGCACAGCGCTTTCTTGTAAGTGCTTGCTCCTGCTTATGTTTTATTAACTGCTCTCCAATTCCTTCAAATGTTCTAAGATCAGCTGAACATTTTTGACTGGTTGAATTTTCTGTTGGCATAGGAATTGGAAAGGGATCTGCGGCAAAATCTGAACATGAGTGATCCGAGGGTGCGCCAGGGAACCCAGTTAAATGCACAGACAACAGTCGGAACAGTGTTTAACAATCTAGGCGCATATTTTCTTGAACTTGGCCGCACAATGATGGGGGTCCGAATGGGTGACAATGGGGTATTAGACTTTGCTTTCTACTAAATGGATTATTTTTTCTCTTAATATGATCATGTCTGTTATCGTGTTCAGAGTACTGCCGTAGTTAATGCTGGCCCTGCAGTCTATATAACCGACTCGGGACCACTGTCCATCCAGGTAGCCTCATCATTGTTTCTCTACTAAAATCAAATCTATATCTGACAATTAAACTTTGTAAATCCAACATTCTGTCCGTCAACAGGAAGAACTTTATTCTGTGCTGCTCTCAACAATACACAGGCTGATCAACTCTGGTTTAGTAAATGATAATGGTACGCGGCTGCACCAGAGGCAAGTTGGTACACAAATGATAGGAGGTTCGTTAGGTAGGTAGTTCATAAGATTTGACATTATTTCTGTACGCTATCTAGCTGGCAAATGAACAAGGTAAGATGAACACGTAGTTCTATGTCCACCATAAATAGAAATGAAATAATATAGTTCCTTTGTGAAATTATTACTTATTAGTTTCCAATGGAAATACTTGTTTCCTTACCAAAATAATAAAACTGATTGGCCCTTTCCTTGAAACACATGCAACAAAATTTCAGCACATACAACTACGTCACAGTCCCAAGTCGGGGTCAACTATATGAATCCTCACTGACTATGTTTCTCCATTTAAACTCATCTCTTGGTCAATGCTTATTACACAAAATAAAAATATCAGTTTCAATATCAAGTATGTTTTTTTTCTTCTTTTTAAATCAAGGGAAAAAAGTGTCAGTGGCTGTAAAGAGGTTAAGAGCTAAGTTGGATTTACTAACAACTAGAAGAGGTATTCTAGTATCCAAAATAGAATACCTGAATTTGGTTTAAAATATTTCTCAAAGATGATTTGCTGATCTTTATTCTTAATTAGGAAGACAAGCACCCAATATGCTACGAGTCAGATACACTAGATACTTTCTTAGACCCATAGTTGCCACAGCTGATCAAACTGAAGCTCAAATACTGCCACCAGGAAGTGGCGTACCAACGGAAGTTAGCCAACTTTTGAGAAGTATGTTCCTCAGTGGTGAACTTCAAGCTGCTACACCTGCAGGTGCAACTGTTGATAACGTTGTTGACAACTCAAGGATATTAGGTCTATCTTCTGGACCATCAATTATAGAACCAAGAAATGCTCGTGAATCAGCTGGTGAAGTAAGTGTATTTTGCACCTTGAATGTTAAACTTATGGATAACTCTATTCATTTCTGATTTTGACAACCATCTTTGCTCTATACTTACACAACTAGCATTTAGACTCAGCTTTTATTCTAAGCATCGACGTGTTTGTGCAGCCTGCTAATGAAGATGTTGGGACATCTCATCGACGAACAGCTGATTTTGCTGAAAGCTCATCAACAAAACGACAAAGGGTATATTATATTACAATTTAAGCTTTCTTCCATTCCATTATGCCGGCTGTTGCTTCCATTTAGAACCTTATAATTTAAGGAAGAAGAAAGCAAGGTAACATTAGAGAGTGGCATAATTTCATACTGTCTCAACTTCAATCAAAATAATAGAGCAAGTTTCAGCCTCACTAAGTCCTCCTTAAATCCATTGACCAGTGGCGGAACCAGGAATTCTGGTAAAGGGGATTCACAAAAATACATGAACGACATACTTTGGGATTCGAACTACGACATAAGTAATTTTTAAACCCCCTTTACCACTACATTAGAAGTTTCTCTTATGTCGAAGGATTATATATACAAAAAAAAATTATTTTTACCCTATTTAGGATAATAGGCGGATCGGCCCTGCCTTTGACATAGGAGTGTTGTATCTTTTAACTTGAATATTCCCTTAGTTTTCCTATGCAAGTGAACTATATATTCAACAATATGTTAAACAATCAATTAGGTTTTGATACTTCAGAGGATATGGAATAGCTAGATTCATTTGATTGCAGCTTTGTGTTTATATCTTAATATGGTATTGGTATTGGGAAGTTGAATGGGTTTGTGGATAAAGTAAGGGAAAATGACCAGACAGAATATGACAATATTCCCACATGCTCCACATCCTCCAACGGCAAGAAAAAATATGACACTACTTTTAACAAAAAGTAGTACATAGTACCAGACAAAATTAAACAAATCCACTAGTATGGGCTGCTCATGGGCATTTGAGTATTCAAGAGATTCCATCTTTTATTGTTACCGGGTAAATACACTACTATGTACAACACTTTTGATTCAAGAAAGTAAAAAATCAGAAATTTCCTTATCTCTGCGTTTTAATATGGTATCAGAGCAGTGTTCATGTTTTAGGTTTCTGCGGATTTTTTTTATTTTTCATTCTCAATCTCCTTTCTTGCTTTCTTCATCATGGGATCTACCACAGAGGAGACCTCTACCCTTGATTCAGGGAGTATTATTGTGATTGACTCCACTCACGCTTATTACCTTCACCCTTCCGACTCTCCAGGGATGCTCTTGGTAAATTCCATATTTGATGGAAAAAGATATGCTGGATGGAGAAGAGGAGTTCTCATTGCTTTGTCTGCTAAAAATAAAATAGGCTTCATTGATGGAAGTTTTGTTGAACCAATAGGCACTTCAACTCTTTCATAAGCCTGGAATCGGTGCAATGACATGGTGATTTCTTGGCTGCTCAACTCACTCTCCAAGGAGATAGTAGAGAGTGCTATTTATTCAAAGACTGCTAAGGATCTTTGGACAGAATTGGAGGACAGATTTGGCCAATGTAATGGGGCTCAACTATATCAACTACAAAAAGAGTTAAGTGATTTAACTCAAGGTTCATCAGATGTAGCAGGGTACTACACAAAAGTAAAGAAAATTTGGGATGAATTGGATACCCTGAACACTTGTGTTCATTGTAGTTGTACATGCTCATGTGGTGGCAAAGCTAAGTCACTCAAATCTTACCAAGATGGAAGACTCATTCAGTTCCTCATGGGACTGTATGAAGCTTATTCAAGTGTTAAAAGTAACATCTTAATGATGTCTCCTCTCCCAACCGTGAATCAGGCCTACTCACTTCTCATTCAAAATGGAAAACAAAGGGAGATTCATGTCACACAACACCCGGGAGAGTCTGCTTTCTTTACCACAAACAAGTTTGGAAACCAAATACGAGGAAAGTTTGAAAGTAAGCAGAAGGGAAGCAATGAGGGAAGGAAAAACAACCTGATATGCAGTTTTTGTAAGAAACCTGGGCATACAGCAGAAAAATGCTATAGGATTTCCTGCAGATTTTAAGTTTACCAAGTCTAAGAAATATCAAGGAGTCGCACACAACAATGCAACATATGCAAGATCAGAGATTCCATCAGAATCAGTCAATATTTTTGAAGGAGGTAACAAGTCTATAACTCAGGAGCATCTTAATCAACTTTTTAACTTACTTCAACAGGTCAAAGCTGGTCAGAACGAGCAAAACTCTGAAGCCGTAGTGTCTGCCAACTGTGCTGGTAAAGCATTGCCCAACTCCAAATCTTTTTCTTATTCTTCTTCAATCAACTCCCTCACCTGGATTTTAGATTCAGGCGCATCAGAACACATGACATATGATGCATCAATCATGTTTAATATAAAGCCAGCAAACAAACCTTTACACATTAGCTTACCTAACTCACACAAGATAAAAGTTACCCATTGGGGAAATGTCAGGGTTTTTCCAAATCTCATTCTTTCAAATGTCTTATATATTCCAAGTTTTAGATACAACATACTCTCTATTCAGAAGTTGTGTAATCAATTTAATTGTCTGCTAATTTTCTCTTCATATGGCGTTATAATGCAGGGCCCTTCAATGAAGAGGCTTCGGGTTCTTGGTGAAGTCAAGAAAGGTCTATACATTTTGAAGTCTAGTCAGTCTAGTTCTAAGGATAGAAATCAAGATTTTTCTCAGTTTAAGGTCAATTGTAAGCAGCCCAGTAATCCCGCAATTTCTAATTCAGTCTTCAATTCTAAGAAGCTCGTAAATGTTGCAATTTCCAATTAGTTCCTAGTCTTCTTAAAGGTCCACTGATGTAAGCCTTTGGCACAAGCGTTTGGGGCATATGCCTTTTTCAAACATGAATAAAATTTCAGTTATTCCAAATGCTTCTTTATCTCAAATACATGATCCATGTCAAGTATGTAAGCTAGCAAGGCAAACTAAATTGCCATTTCAATCCAGTGCAATCTCCTCTACTTCTATTTTTGAGCTTATACATGTAGATACTTGGGGACCTTATAAACAAAGCACACATGATGGGTATAAGTATTTTTTAACTATAGTTGATGACTACAGTAGAGGAACTTGAACATACCTTCTTAGTACCAAAAGTAATGCCTTCACCATTCTCAAGTTTTTTTTGGCAATGGTTGAAAGACAATTTAACACAAAAGTTAGAATAGTAAGGTCGAATAATGCTTTTGAGCTAAGTTCTAGCAACTCAACATCGCATTTTTTTTCTTCACAAGGGATTATCTACCAAACAACCTGTGTGGCTACCCCTCAACAAAATGGGGTTGTAGAGAGGAAACATAGACACTTACTTGAAACATGTAGAGCCCTTCTTTTTCAATTACGTTTGCCAGTTTCCTATTGGGGAGATTGCCTTCTTACAGCCACGTTTCTTATTAATAGGTTTCCCTCCAAAGTTATACATTCAAAAACACCTTATGAGAAGTTGTTTGGAAAGTTGCCTGATTATTCTTCTTTAAGAGTCTTTGGTTGTTTATGCTATGCTTCCACTCTATCACATGTCTAAATTAGATCCTAGATCTGTGCGTTGCGTATTCTTGGGTTACCCTTTTGGAAAGAAGGGTTACAAATTGCTCGACTTTCAATCTAAAAAGTGTTTTGTGTCTAGAAATGTGATCTTTTATGAACATATCTTTCCTTTTTCATCTCAGATTGATCCTCCCATGTTTCCGGTCAATAACACATACACTCTATCTCCCTGCATCAGTACACATAATTAATCTCCTCCAGATCATACATCTCCCAAACAACCAGGTAGCTAGAAGCTATGGCTACAGAATTTGCACCTTTAGAACAAAATAAGACTTGGGAAGTAGTGGAGTTGGCGAAAGGGAAGAAAGCTTTGCCTTGTAAGTGGGTGTACAAGGTAAAGTATAATTTAAATGGAAGAGTAGAAAGGCTAAAGGCACGACTGATGGTTATGGGAGACATTCAACGTGAAGGAATTGATTTCAATGAAACATTTTCACCAGTGGTGAAAATGACAACCATACGATGTTTATTGGCAATTGCAATTAAGAAAAACTGGGAGCTTTTCCAACTAGATGTCAACAACGCGTTCTTACATGGAGATTTACAAGAAGAAGTTTACATGAGATTTCCAGCTGGTATGCAACCACCTTCACTAAATCATGTATACCTTTTGAAAAAAATCTCTTTATGGATTGCGTCAAGTTTTTCGACAATGGTATGCTCGACTCGCAGCAGCTTTGAATTTCAAAGGGTACTCTTATTCCATAAATGATTACTCTTTATTTTTTAAGAATTCTGGATCTAAGGTGTCAATTGTGGCTGTATGCGTTGATGATATACTCCTTACTGGGAATGATATTGATGAGTTTAGCAGACTAAAGGAGTTTCTTAATTATGAGTTTAGAATTAAGGATCTAGGCCATGCACATAATTTTCTCGGTATGGAGATAATCAGAGAACCAAATTGACTCATACTTAGTCAGAGAAAATTTACCTTGGATTTGCTACAAGAATTTGACTGCATTGATTCAAAGCCAGTATCTTCTCCACTCGACCCTAACTGCAAACTCCATGCCAATTCAGGGGAGCCTCTTGTTGATCCAACTACATACTGGAGAATTTTGTGAAAGATAAATTTTTTAACGCATATGCGACCCGATTTATCATTCACAGTGCAACATCTAAGTCAATTCATGCAGGACCCCTGAAGACCTCATTTTTATGCTGCAATCAGATGCCTTAAATACCTTTTAGGAAACCCGGGGATAGGCCTTTTTATGACATTTGAGGCCTCTTCTCACCTAGTTGCCTTTTGTGACTCGGATTGGGCATCATGCCCGAATTCTCGTCGTTCTGTAAGCGGGTTTTTCATAAATATTGGGGGTTCACCTATATCTTGGAAATCCAAGAAACAAATCTCAGTTTCCCTTTCATCCGCTGCAGCAGAGTATCGATCGATGCGTCGGGTAGTCGCTGAAATCACTTGGTTGGTACGTCTATTGGAGGATCTATCAGTAGCACCATCTCTTCCAATCCCAATTCACTCCGACAATCAAGCAGCTATCCACATTGCAAAAAATCCAGTGTTCCACGAGCGCACTAAATATGTTGAGCTCGATTGTCATTTTGTCCGACAACAATTTGTAGCCGGACTCATCTCTCTCTCGTTTGTCCCATCCTCATCTCAGCTTGCAAATATATTTACTAAACCCCTCCACGAGCCTGCTCATCACTCGATAATTAGCAAGTTGGGAGTCTCTTCGAGCCCCTCCAACTTGAGGGGGGATATTGGGAAGTTGAATGGGTTTGTGGATAAAGTAAGGGAAAATGACCAGACAGAATATGACAATATTCCCACATGCTCCACATCCTCCAACGGCAAGAAAAAATATGGCACTACTTTTAACAAAAAGTAGTACATATTACCAGACAAAATTAAACAAATCCACTAGTATGGGCTGCTCATGGGCATTTGAGTATTCAAGAGATTCCATCTTTTATTGTTACCGGATAAATACACTACTATGTACAACACTTTTGATTCAAGAAAGTAAAAAATCAGAAATTTCCTTTATCTGCGTTTTAATAATTGGTAGGTGCTGAACGTGCCTATTAACTTAGTATATCTTCCTGATTAAAAGCTTTTGGTTGCTGTTTTTGACACAGATGGAGTGATGCCTTTGTTGTGGGAGCCTATTTTGTTACTATATTGTGTATTGGGGTATCAGCTGGCGACAAGATGTTCCCAATTACTAATAGACAGTTTCATCTTTCTTCAGCTTTGTGGAACTTTGTAGTTATTTTCTTGTCTGTTTTGTGACGATCTTTTACTGGATCGATCTCCCTTTAAAAACTTATGACAAAGGATTTTAAGCTTTCTGTTCATTGGCATTGTCTTTTCATGACGTATGTTGTTACATGCATTGCCTTGAGATTATATAGTAGGAAAGCCAAAAGTGGATGTGTTATAATACATATATTTGCAAGTATTCTTTCTTCGTTTGGATGCTATACTGAAATTATTCAAGTCATTAATGTGGTCATCAAACTAGGTCATAATTCAAAAGCAGGGCCAGAATTTTGAGTTTGTGGGTTGTGGAAACTTTATATATATGGTATTTGTTACTGGTTGAAACTTCAATTGTTTCCTTTTAACTAGTGATTTATTTAGTGGTAGAAAAAAATTAGGTAACACTAGGGTGAGATCTATCTTGTAAGATCTATTTATCTTTCTTTATACCAAGGAAAGAAAAAGGTTCCTTTTGTATCAGGAATAATAAATAAAATTGAAACAAGATAAAATTTTATATCAAAACGACTTATGGCATCACAGGAAGAATCACATCCTCCTTTCAATCAAGTTTAATCTACGGTCGGATGTAGGGAAAGAAAGGATGGATCGATCGACCAACTTGAACAGATTCATAACTTGCTTTCGTCTATCCTGGAAGAGAGTGAAATTATGGCGTAACACTGTAATTTAACATGTTATAATAGGTTACTTAGAATTACTTGCATTAAGTGAATGGAGTAGAATGTATAAGAATTTTTTACATGATCATGTCACATTAAAAGTAAGTAATTATTCTTGTTAACTAGTACTATGCATTAATTTGTTTCTTTTCCTGCCCATCCTCATTATCCTAATCTGCACATCGAATTCATTAACAATTGAGAAGCACAATCTAATAATTTTTCCTACTTTAGATGCTTAAGCTGTTAAAAAGGAAAAAGCTCACACAGGAGAGGCAATTAAATGAATAGGTGGTATAGGAAAAGAAATAATTTTATTCTTTTCCTTTATTCATGGCAAACGCAAATTACATTAATAAATATTCAANATATATACACACACACACCCCATTTAGCCGGTTGAAACTGAAAATTGAATAAAAAATTTTGAGTTCCAAACTTTCTTATTTTTAATATTCTTTTAAATTGTTTATAGTTTAAAATATGATTATGACAAGCCAAATATGTTTTAATTAACGTACGTGTAAAATTGACTTTTTAATGAATACGTTTTAAGAAATTGACACTTATAAGTATAATTATTTTAATGATACAAAACATAAATTTGTGACTTTACTGATACAACAAGTAAACTTCAACGACTTTAATAGTATAAAAATAGTTTTGTAATTTCATTTATACAACAAAGTAAAGTTCACTGAATTTATTGATTCAAAATAGAGTAGTGCCAGATAGTGCAGAATCCAAAATAGATTAGAGGGAGTCAAAGTGGAGCCTTCATTCAGTTTGTATAAATAAAGTTTCAAGTAAAGACAATGCTCAACAAACCAATATTGCAAAAAGGTGAGTTCACATTCAACCATTCTATCTCTATAGGCGTTACATTTCTAACTAAAGAAGAACCCAGTGATCTTAATTGTATTTTAGTGATTTGAGTGATGAATTTTTGTGGGATTTATCTGAAACTCGTCCAGGTTTTGATAAAGCATCAGATTTATAAGAGTATTCTTGATTTCTTTCTCAATTTTGTTTTGGTGTTTTTAAAGTTTTGATTTCTAGCATTCCTCAAGTCAAGTCTTTGTTTTTGATTTTTACATTTCCTTTACCCTTGTTTCTGCTCCCCTTAAATTGGTCACATGGAGCACGAATGTGAATTAGTCGAGTCAGTGAATCCTAGTGGTTAAACCAAAAAAAATCATCATGGTTGTACTAACATTCATCATTTCTTTTCTTGTTTTACTAAATGTTACTTAATTGTTAGCTGTGTTGATCTTAATATCTTAATATGGTATGATAGCTTATGCGTTTAAATATGAACTCTTAATGATCTCTTATGATATAATGAACATCAACTATTTCTTCCCATATATATCTGCTTGAACTGATTTGTTTTGAATTGTCTAGGGAACAGCTGACCCGCCAAGAGGAGACACTGATTTTTGCTCGTGATTTTTCTTACAATGAAAGACAGTGATTGGATTTTGGTGAGTTTGATTCTTCCCAAATCTAATTTTGTCATTCGATTTCTTTCCCTTTTAGTCACTTGTGTTTTTCATATAAATATGATTGATTTGACCTAGCAAATGTTACTACTTTATGCTGAGATACATACTAGCTCATGTCTGCAATAATTTTTTATTGATTCTGAAATTAGATCATTGCTAATTAACTTTAATTCTAGTAACACGATCAGCACATGCTTGTTTATTTGTCCCCACATGGATTTGAGCTCATTATAATTTGTTTTCCAACTTTGAACCCATCAGTACTATAGAGGGAAGATTTTACTCTCTGCCGGAATGAATTCTCAAATTTGGATATATAATTCGTTGAACTTGCTTTTTGTATAATTCTACAGTATATGTTCGGTTTGAAAGGGAAAGAACATGATCGTAAGAAGAAGATACAGAATCAAAGATCTGATGTAGAAAATGAAGGCAAATCCGGAAAGGATCAAGACGGCTCTTTTGAGGAGACAGTATTGGCTAAAGAACAGCCAAAAGACACCGATGGTAATTAATTAGGAATTCTACATCTTATACTAATTATTTTGTTTTTCTTTTGTATGGGGTGTGTTACTCGATAGGAGGAAGAGAAAGATAGACGAGATTGAGGCGTATCCAAGGTGGATGTAGTGCTTAAGTTACAGATTCGTCTAAACTCAGTAACTTTGGCTCAAAACCTATATATGTGTTTCAAAGTTCACGAAATAAGTACATATAACAAAATTTGAGCCCACTCCAAACTCAAACCCTTCAAATTCTGAATCCACTTTTGGGCGTATCCCAAATTTGAAATTAGCATGTATAGAGTATACCTTTGCCTATAACATATGGTCTTGAAAATTTTGAGAACATAAATATATCATGTTCTTACAAATTTTGAGAAGTTTCTAATTCCTCAGTGTTGAACTCCATGTAGAAGAAACTGCTACACCTGGAGCAACTAAAGATATCACTGAGAATGCAGGGAAAGGTGTATTTTCTGGATCTAAAAAAGTTCATGAATCAACTGATGAAGTAAGTGTAACTTTTCGCTATCTTTTGCTCTATACTTACACGGCCTGCATAGACTTTGCATTCCGTGTAGCCCTCGACTTTAATTCTAAGATTAATCTATGTGTGTGTAGCCTGCTAACGAAGATGTGGGGACCTCTTGTCAACTAAATGATTGTGCGCAAAGCCCATCAGATGCAAAACGGCAGAGGGTATTATTACAAAACTTAAGTTTACTTCCTTCCATTATGCTTGCAGTCGAGTCTAAGCATGTTGTTTGTGCAGCTTGCCAATGAAGATGTCGGGACTTCTCCTCAACAAAATGATGTTGCACAAGCAAAACGGCAGAAGGTACTATATTCAGTAACTTAACTTTCCCCCTTCAACTAAAGTTGTGCTCAAATTCGGTTCTTTAAATCCAATCAAATAGGTTCTGGTACTATAGATCAGAGCCATTTGGCAGCCTTCTCTTTACTTCTGATTATTGTACGTGTTGAACATGCTTATTTAGAATGTTTTCCTGATAAACTATTTTGGTTGCTTTTTTTTTTTTTTACACAGATGGAGTGATGCCTTTGTTGTGGGATATGAGCTGGTGACAAGATGTTACTACCAACTAGTATTTAGACAATTTCATTTTTCTTCAGCTTTGAGAACTTCGTAGTTGGTTTCTTATATGTTTCTATGACAATCTTTTAATGGATATTTCCTTAAGAACTTGTGGTGGTGAATTTTTTTAAGCTTTCTGCTTACTGGTGTTATCTCTTTGTGGTTTCTTTTACATATATTCCCCTTGAGATTATAAATATTGCACTTGCTTTACATACATCGTTTCCAGTTTTGGGTTGTACGTGTCCCCTAGAAGCTGAGGGAAAAACCAGAGACTACTAACTCCTCCTTTATAACATTACTAGTGATATTATGCGCGGTAATATAATTTTTTTTTAAAAATACTTCATTGATTTTTTTTTGTAGAAGAATAACTTTCATATATGCATACAAAAATTAATTTTAAAGGTAGATTAAATCACAAATATAAATATTTTTTCTAATTAATTAGATACACTACATATAACTAATTTCACATTAACAATAATACACTACAATATCAATAAAATTAAAAAAAAAATCAGTAAAAAAAAATGTTTTGGCCCTCCCGACAAACTCTCCCAATTGTTTTGTTCCTTTTAACTATATCAGAACAACTCAACCCTCTATCTTTATATTCCAAAACAGATTAAACAGTAGAAAACTACAATATTTGGGAGTTATTGAGATTAAAGTATGGAAGCATTACGAATATTATAAAGAGTAGAAGATAAAAAAAGTGTGAGTTATGAAGGTAAATCTAATATCTAATACATTAATTAAAAGAAAAAAACAATGATACAGTATAAAGATAATAAAAATATTCATATTAAAACTCCAACAATATAAACTATCCATATAAATAGAAGTATTAATTAGCAACATATATTAAAGGTAAGAAGATATTCTTGATAAAACTATTGGAGAATCTTGCACCTTCACTATGGTTATCAACCTTTTGATATGGTATTTTTTTTGAACCAAAAAAAAGAAAAGAGAACAAACTAAAGCAAAATATGTGCTTCCTATACACAAAGACCAAACAACAAAAACAAACCTTTCACATACTCAAGTACTCAACAACTTTTTTGCAATAATAGAACAATACAGAGAAAGATCCAGAAAGATGCATTAAAAAAATATCACAATATGGAATCAAATAGAAATAATAATCTAATTGATATAGAAGATTACCATAAAGGTTTTGCTCATTGATCAAATTGTAATCACAAATTTATGAATAGAGCACACAAAATTTGGGAACATTTTCATACTCTTAAACAATCAGAGGCGGATCCAGGTTTTTAAGTTCGTGGGTGCACTACCGGCTTTAACAAAATTTAATACTTGTAAATAGTGTTAATTTTTTTTCTTTTTTTTTTTGGTAGTGTCAATTGATATGGAAACATTTAGTGTTTTAAGACTTATTGTCAATTTTAAATATTATTTAAAGAGATAACATATACACTTCTTAAACCATTCAGCTCTTACCATCAAAATTCAAAACAAAGAGGAAAAATAAAATGCTAATAACAATTAAATATCGTAAAATTTAAAACTTGTGTAAATTTTAGTGCAAAAAGACACACAAAAAAATCTTAACATATGACTAATTCTATATATGTGAATTACTTACAAAATAAACTATATGTTGTAATAAAATATTATAGGCAAAAGTCTAATAATTTTATTGAAACAAAAATATTCAAACAAGTTATTGTGTAATTTAATATTCAGTAAAAAACAAAAAGGGTAAAGAGAAAATTAATTGAGAGATTACAATTAAGATCGAGGTTAGCATAAATTGGGAGTAGGAAGACTAATAGATTATAGGGGGAAAAAACAAATGAAAAAAAAAACAAAAAAACAAATAAAGAACAACAGGATGAGAAAATCACAAGAGGTCGATCCCTTGTTGTTGGGAAAGTAAAAGAACGGACAACCAGTGAACCACTTAGCTTTATACAGCATGGGTTCCCAAAGTTAATATTAAACCCTTTCTTTAAATTATATACGTGGAAAAACTAATTTGCTGGGAAGATCATGGATTCACGCGAACCCCAATTTACAATGTAGATCCACCCCTGACAGTGATAAGGTTCCCAAGATAAAAAAGAATGATGAAAAAATTAAAAAAAGACAACATAGAAACTATTTCCAACAAGTAAATTATTAGCTATGTATAGGAATAAACTCTTACTTTTTGCTTGTCCTTTTCCGATTCTTCTTTGTCCTTTTATCTTTTTTCTGCTCCTGATAAATTCTAATACCTGTGTTTTTACTCAACGATATAACAGAGTTTTGGGTTTGAGGATGAAAAGAAGAAGGAAGTCAAGTTGGCAAGCAAGATTCACATGAGGCTAGCCAAGATGGTCTTATTTTGTGAAAAATGTGCTTAAATTAAAAGGTTTAATGAACTGAGATTTGACTACAATAAATAAATAATAAAAATATTGAAAAGAATGAAACTTGATACATGAGGAACAATGTAGAAATGAAGTTGAACAGGAGAAGCAAATAGATGGAAACAGAGGCGAAATTTCAATTTCTACTATTTCCTCAAATCTCTCAAAAAATCTATTTGCTGATATCCAATATATTATTAACAGAAAGAGGCTAATTATAATCCTAATATTGATTCATGAGATAATTGTAACCAAAAACTTTTTAGCAGTGGCATTTCTTCTCCCGGTATTGATTGTCATCATCTCGGTCCTCAGCCTCAAAAGAGAGCTTTTTTCTCTTTCGATCCGACTGTATCTTGTTCAGATTTAGCAATTGAGTATATATAGAGAAACACGTTAATCCTGAAAATACAAAGCAATTCCAACATTGTAAGATAAAGTTAGAATTGAAAAGGATCATAAAAGCTCATAATTTTTATATTCAGAGAAATATGTTATCATGAGAAGGCATAGCAAGTCCACTATTGTAAAAATATTATAGAAACTTGTTATCCTTAGAAGGCATAGCAAATCTAATATTTCAAAAATAATACTCCTATTTGGCAGGGGAAAGAGAAGATGTAAAGTTGTAATTAAAAAGGTTCAGGAAAACTTACAATTGAAGAAATCAGCATTCATCTCAACTCTAACTCTAATGCAGCGACAAATAAACGCAGTACCTATAACAAAAAACAAACTCATATCAAGTTCGGCAGATCAACAAGAAAAGTCATTCGGGGAGAGAAAGACGTAGTATCTATAACGAAAAACAAACTCATATCAAGTTCTACAGATCCGCAAGAAAAGTCAATCGGGGAGAGAAAGATTAATGAGAAAATACTTGAGAGAAAGACAACTTAAAGAAGAGGGACTGTAATTGAGAGGATTAATGAAGGTGACGCTTGGGTTTTGACTAATTGTTAAACTTCCCCAAAATAACGGTTGTGTGATCCTTCTTAATTATGTCTTTTAATGCACGGTTGATATGTGAGATTTGAATCGGTGTTTTTTTTTTTCTTCTCTTTATTGTGGTTGTTTAAAAGCCCAAGAAGCAAAAAAAGGCAAAAAAATAAGAAAAAAGATAAATAGATTTCTAGGCTAAAGAGAGGTGTCATGTTAGCATTCTTTGGCTCTCTTTTATATATATATATATATATATATAGATTTCTTTCATTTTAGACTTTTGAAAGAGAGGAGGAAAGCCGGTTGTGAATGTAATATGTGCAACAAGTGTTCGATAAAGAAGAGAAAACAGACTTTGTAATTGGTTTCTGATCTGTTTTTATGGCAATCTTTTATTGCATCTTTCATTAAGAGCTTGTGGTGGTGTCAAAAGATTTTAAGTTTTCTGCTTATTGGTGTTATCTCGTCGTGGTTTTCTATTACATATATTGGCCTGGAGATTATAAATATTGTACTTGCTTTGCAGACATACACTGGCGACTCAACGAATTTAATATCCTAAATCCAAATTTGAATAAGATGCCCTTTTGTTTTAATTATAGCATATAGAATATTTTTACAAAAAATGAAGTCTGTAATTTCACAACAAATATTTGATAGTAATATTAAATATATTTTGGAGAGAGTTAATTTAAGTTATGAAGATGTTAGTCATATGTTTGCAATACATTACCTTGAATCTTATTGTAAAAAATATTATTGAATAATATGAAAACGTGAGTAGTTTAATTCAAAATTCTAAAATATTTTTATTGTTAAAAGATAGACAATTTTTCTATCTTACTTAATAACGATTTTGTGCTATACGAATTTCAATATTGTCTAAGCCAAAGCAGCATCAGAAAATCTATTCCTAAAATTTTTTGGGGTCCCAAAAAATTTTCGGAGCCTAGGCCTCACCTTTAAGCCACCCCTGCATACATATCTGGTTTCCTGTTTTGGGTTGTACACGTCCCCTTGGAGATGAAGGGAAAAGGTAGAGACTATAACAACCCCTCCTTTTTGTTCATTAAAAAGAGAGCAGGAAATCCAACTGTGAATGTAATATTTGCAACAAGTGTTCAATTAGAGCCAAACTGAAAATTATTCAAGCCATTGTGGTCATGAACGTTTCGGGTGGTTACATCTTACTTCAAGATGAGGTTACTATTGTTTTACTCTTGACTTAGCTTTATATTGATAAGATGAAGGAGGAGAAAAGGGGAATTGAACATGGATATGTTTCCTAATTCTCTATTGCTAACAGATGTTCCATTTGGCAATGTTGTTCTTGCAAAAGTTAGAGAAGTACAAAAAATATATCCATGGTCGATGGGATAGGGAGAGGGGAACAAAGAGAGAAGGGATAGTGAACAGAAAATAGACTTTAGCTCATTTATCCGTACCTTACTAATTACTCTCGCGGTTCACTTTTACTTGATATGTATATTAAAAATAAATTTCCATTTTTACTTGTCACTTTACGCATATCAAGAGAAGACAATTTTTTTTCTTGTTATACCCACAGTATTTATTACTCATTTCAAATTATTTTCTCAAATCTAATAAAATATGCATCAATTAATATGGGTATCATGGTAAATTATGCACTTTATTTATTATTTCTTAAGGGGCATGAAAAGTCAAAACATGCCAAGTAAAAGTAAACGGAGGGAATAGTTGAACGTGTTGAAAATTCGAATACAAACACAGAGCCAACACATCGGAATATTAATAGGAACGTACCATCAACCATGGTTGTTCAA